GGAAAGAAAGGAGCATGCTGTTTGTAAAATGTTTGCTTACAAAATAGATGGCATTGTTTCAACATTGGTGTTGCAAGAATGTATCCTCAATAGGAGGAAAGGAGTGTTGTCTATGAATAGAAGAGACTGAAGAGCACAGTAGAAAGAGTCTTGAGTGAGGCTGGGAGGTATGAGGAGTGGAATAGCTTACTTTAAAAAGTTTTAAAATGAAGTTCTTTTTTTATTTGTTGAGAAAGTACTTAAATAAATTTAATACAGATAGATTGATAACAACAACAAAAGTATTTTTAAGTAAAATTAAAGTAATACTTATGTATCAACCTCATGTTATTGGAAAATTTCAACAAATTTTTGTTTACCTTTAGATGGTGTTAAATAGGTTATTATAATTTAAAATTTCTGGCTAAAACTAAAAATTGATGGTAAATCACTGCATAGTTTTAATAGGCAAGCATCTTTATTTATTTTTGCAGAAACTGAAACTAGAGAAAAAGGTAACAAAAGCATTCATTTATTTTATTAACATTTTTTTAAAAAATTCAGTAACCTGTGTTAAGTGTTTTATTGATTCCCCAAAATACACTTCCCTTTTTTTTTTAAAGTGAGAAAGGCTCATAAATTTAGAAAAAGGGATTGTAATTAAAGATTAAAGACAAATATTTGTTTGTAAATTTGCCATCAAGATTTTGATTTATAAAATGTGTACCTATTCTGGGCTGAACATTTTTTAAATCAAAATCTTCCTTAAAACTTTAACTTTAGCAAAAAACCCATGTATATAAAAACTTGTTTTGATTTAATTAATTATGAATAAAATACTTGCTTTTAATTCATGAATAAAAAAAAGTAAAACTATATTTTCAAGATTAAAGGAAAAATTAATTAAAAAATAGGAGTTGAAATTTGTTCAAAAGGAAAATTAGAAACTAAATGATTAATGCATATCAGGTAAATTACTAAGTTTTTTTTTTGTTTTAAATTGTTATTTATCATGCATTATATAATGATACTTTTTCATTCATATCTCTAAATATACAAAATTAGTAAATATATTTGTTTTACTCTACAAAAATCCAAAATATTAAATAGAACTTTTTTACTAGTCCAGATTTGTGAAAGATAATTATTTGGAAATATGTAACTGTTAATTAACTATGATGTAGTCATATTTTTTGTCTGATTTGTAATTATTTGTTCCAAGAAAAAAAAGACTAATAATTGATTTGATGCATTTTGTCATGAAGTATTTGACAAGTAATTAAAGCCATTCATAAAGTAAAATTTTTTATGCATAAAAACCAATGCCATAAGGTGGTTGATTAAGCTTAAATCTAGTGATCCTGCAGAATTTGGAGTCTGTAAATAATTTTATATATAATGGGCCTTGTGTGTTTATAAATAGCAAAGAAAATATTAATACATAACCATTATGTATTAGCAATTTTGAATGATAGTAGATAAAAAGTTTTATGTGAATAATTTCTCTCAATAATTTTTCAATATTATACATAATTTTAAAAAATCAAAGCATTTGTTATAAGCAGTTACAAATACAAACATTGATATAAATATAGAGAGAGAGAGTCCTTCCAGAGAAGGTGTATCTTGTCTGCTAGTAAAGTGTGTTTAATGTAATTTTTTTAATTTTGTTCAAATGATTTAAGTAAGGATTCTATTCTTAATAGATAATTTTTAACATGCATATAAAAGTGTGTTATTTTATATAAATTAGTATATTTGTGTATATCTAATAAAAATTGTTTTTATTAATGTAAAATAAATTTCAAGTCCATTTTTATGATAGCATTTAATAAACATTTTAAAGAAAAATTCAATATTTTGATGTAATATAAAAATTTAGTTACTTTTTATTTATATAGTTAATTCATGAACTTATGCTAAAAATTTAATTATATCAAAGTAAAATTGATTTAAAATTGTTCTCTAATATTTATTATCAGCATCATGATAAACATTTTCTTAATATGTTTCTTAAAATGTATTTAGAAATATGTCTGAAATTCATATGTGAATATACACACAAACTAACAGAATTATAATCATATATGTGGATAAAAGTATGCTTGATTTTTATTATACAAATATATTATTATATGTATTATTTATTATATATGTATATATCTCATTCTCTTCTGCATAGTATTATATTGCAGGAAATATACTGAAATTAAATCAATTTTGTGTGTTAAATGTGAAAGGCAAAAATTTTCTGTTCTTTCAACATTATGCTTTATTTGAATGTAATGCTTTTAAAACTTGAATCATTTGTTAAAAATATAGTCTTGAGTACATGATTCATTTAATGAAAATGACTTAAGATTGGTTGTGTGTAGATTAACTAATATTTAAATGAGTTAAAACAGAATTTTATGTATTTTTTATGTAATTAGTTATGTTATATGCTAGTGAATTTTTGTCCATTTTTAAATAAGTGTTTAATTCTTAAGTAAAATTAACCTGTTGTAAAAACTTGCATCCCCCCCCCCTTCTTATTTAATAAATTTATAATGTTAGTATTGAATCTACAGTTAGTTATAAAAATTGAATTTCATAATTTTTCTTATTTTTTATGCTATTAGTCATTAAGTATAATTAATAATACAAAAAGTGCTAGCAGAGTTGCAAATCATTAAACTAATTTGCTTTTAATTAACATTTTCAACAGTTAGAAACTTGTAATCATAATTACCAACTTTAGGTAAGTTCATTAAATGTGTTTACTTTTGCATAACAATATTTTTTGAAGGACTATTTTGATACTCTAGATTTTTTTGAATTACAGTCAGAAATATTTAAATAAAACTAGGCAGTTATTAAATTCCATTTGGTTATGATCTTATTAAACTGATGGAATTCTATAAAATCCTGTTTTAAAACCATGAATTGCATTCAATTTTTCCACATATCTATTCATTCCTTTACTTATCAAAAAGCATATCATTTGAAAAAATAGTTTAAAAATACTGTATATGTGTGAATTTATTCTTGTTTTCTCGAAATGTATTTAAGAAAATTTCTATTGATACTGATTTTACCATATCTTATTGAGAAAAATATAATTTATGTTCATACTTCTATTTTAAAGGTATGTAGAGAAAACCGAGATGATTTGCCTATGGAAATCATTCAGCACCTTTTGAAAACTTGATTACTTTTATTGAAGGTCAGAAAAATTATTTGACTATTTTACATTTTTATATATAGCTTAATTTCAGATTTGTAATTACCTATATTATAGAAAGTATAGCTTGTTTTAATTACTAATTTATATATATGATTATATTTTAGGTATGCTGCACACTCATTCAGGGAAATTGATTACTTCTATCATGAAATAAAATGAACAGATCCTATATAAATCAGTAACACTCTTTTCTCTCAGATAATGATAACTAGCACTATAAATATGTAAATATATACAGTAGTTTTATGTTTGTTATGTGTATTCAAGAATAAAGAAAAATATGTACTCCTTTTGTGTACTTTTACTCCACATTTTAGTAATGTTGATATTGGAAACTATATATTCCATTACATGTACAACTCTAAGAAATTACATATGTTGCTATCTTCTACTGTTACTCATGTACTGTAAAATATGGCACTTATATGTGTACCCATACATTAGAGCTGCATTTTTTAATTTTTTGATACATTCATCATGTAACGCGCACCCCCCTTTTCACAAAGAAACTTGTAATGCTCGTATGTTTTGAAGTCGTTTATCAGAGGTATTATTGCAGGCTTTTGAAACAATAGAATACTTCTAGAAATACAACCCTTTAAGTTCGTAAGAAATGCCATTTCTTTTAAATAAACAGTATTTCGATATATGTAGAAGTCTAATTTATTTTTGTATGCTCATCTTTTTTCATTTTTCAACCTCTCATTTTTATACCTGGCTGATAATGTGCAGCCGTAAATTTCGATGTTATTTTTTTGTGTTAAAGTGTGTGTTATATGCTGGATTTTACAGTACTTTTTTTGTTGTTTTTGTTTAACAAAGAAAATAGTCTACAGTGGAGTCAAAACTAAACCCACTCTGAAAATTGCATAAAATATCTGTATCATCCAGCATTTGTAAATCTTCATATTTTTAATTATCTTTGAATTAATTAAAAATATGAAGAATTTATAAATGACATTAATATAATATATTTATATAAAATCTGACATTTGTAAGATTTTATTATAAATTTGGGGCAAGGGGTGCCCCAAAGAATTGCTTTATTTCTTTCTCTCTCTCTCTACCAAGAACATTGAGAACTTTTAATCACCTGAGGTTTCTGTTTGCATAACATTTAAATTTTAGAACCTAAAGTGAATCTTTTAAACCTCTCTTTCAGATCTGGATATTGTTGCATTCAATCAAATCAAATCAAATGCATTTAAAAGAAAAAATATTCCTAGCTGCTTCTTCCTGCCTTCTCGGTGTATGAAAAAAGTATCTTATATATTAATTATATGTTGTAAATTCTCATATTCAAATTTTTTTTTAAATTTTAATAAAATAAATGGGATAATCTTCAGAATATTGCTTAAAAAGTGTAGGATTATCTTATGTTAATGAATTCAAGAAGAATTATCGATTTAATCTTTCAAACTTACTTATTTGATGTGATTTGCTAGTAACAAGGTTTCTTGACAACTTCTTTATTTCTTAAAAATTATTTTTCTGGAGTTGTAAATTCCTGTGATTTTTTAAGATATTTTTCAGGGTGCATTTGATTGGATCTCATGACAATACAAATCTCTTTCTCTGATTTATCTCTGTCTTTTTACACTGCAAAGGTGATTTTTCAATTCCTACTATTAGTTCACACTCTCCCTATATTTATATATATATTGTTCAAATTTTCAATCTCTAATAAAATACTTTTTATTCATCCACTTAAGTTCAAATACATTTTTTAAAACTTGTAGTGAATGACACTTGATCATAATATATCACCACATATAAAAGGAAAATTGTTCGTTATGTCCCTGTAGTTCAATGGATAGCGTGTTGGGCTTCTAACCCAAAGGTCGTGGGTTTGATCCCCACCTGGGATGGCCTAATTTCTGAAAATGTGATTTCTTTTTTCTGTATTATTTTATTGAAAAAATTTAATTTAATTAATGAATAAATAGTAACAAACAAAACTGATAGTCCAACACCATATATAAAAAGGAAAATTTGAAGTAAAATCGTTTCTATTTTGCCACTTAATATTGTGATTCTGTCATATGTTTATACATATTTATATTAATTATAATTATTTAATAAAAAGTAAAATAATTTTTTTCTTTGTTGATCTAAATAGGAACTGACTTGCCACCCATCCGGTAGAGTGGTTAGCGACACTGACTGGGGTGCCATAGGGCCTGGGTTCGAATCCTGGAGATAGCATGGGTGTTAGTAAATGTATAGTGCCTTCACGGCATGGGGATACTCTTAAACAGCTGTCGAGCCGCAAGTCCTCTCGTGAGGTTGGTGGGAGGGGAAGACCTCTGACCACCCTCAAAATTGGGGTGGAGCCGAGCAAAATCGTACTGTCACCTGCATGGTGCTCAAAGCTAAGGCTAATGACAGGCGTAAAAATCTAGCCCTTAGCTGTGATGAATTTCGCGGACCTTGATCTGATGTTGCTGTCGATCAGGTGGCATAAGTTACAACATAGAAATTTATTTAAAAAACATTTTTTTTATATTACTTTTATTTTTGCAAACTCTTGCAATTTTCTTAAATTTAAAATTCCCTAATGCATTGCCCTGGTTACAAAATATTTAATTCTTTTATCTTAGAATTTCATTTTTTTTTAGATAACTCAGAATTAAATATTTTGTTTTGTTTTTTTACATAATAATGAGGAAGTTGTCAGTAGCTTATAGTTATAAGAACTCTTTAAAAATCCCTTACTTTTACTTGATTTTTAAAAAAAACAGCACATTTTCAGAATAATTTATTTACCTATCATTTGAAAATTATATATTTTAATATAATTTGATATAGCTTCAGTAAAGAATATTTTTTTTCTGTTTTCTTTGCATATTGAAAAAAGTAATATTTAAATGAAATGTGAGATTTATAAAATTAATAAGTTAATTATTTTCATATTAAATCATTGCTGTGAATGAACAAGTATTTTTTTCTACATTAACAATAATTTAAAAACATAATTCAGCTATAACCTTACTTTATTTCTCTTTCATAAAATTATTTTGATTGTGTGTGAACATCAAAACTATTAAAAATCTAAAAACAGCTTATTGAAATGTAAAAAATGCATCCCTGTTGCAGTGTTATATTTACCCTCTTAAATAATAGTGTATCAGAATACCTAAAATTTCTGTCTTCCAATCTATATTTTAAAAATTTAGGTTAATATCAATTTTTCTTAAATAAGCTTTTTATAAAAATTGAATTTATGCAATTAAAGGGTACTTACGTATTATGGCAACAATCGCCAACTCTATTAATAACTCGCTAAGTTGACAACCCTGATTTCCTATGTGTTGTATGTGCTGAATTAGCAACCAGGTGCTTTGTTTCATATGATTTCGCCAATAGGTTGCGATAATATGTAAGTACCAATTATAGTTTTAAAAGCACATCTAGAATTCAATGTAATTTCATTCCTTAAATATCAGTGTAAAGCATTTATTGTTATTTTTTTCTGGTAAAATTCTTCCCCAAAAAAATATTTGTTGATTTTTATGATTTTTATTGAATTTTTTTGGTACTTATGTACTATCGCAACCTATTGGCGAATCATATGAAACGAAGCACATAGTTGCCAACTTGGCAAGTTATTAATAGAGGTGGCGATAATACATACCTTTTTTTATTGTTTTTATCAAGTCTATACATTAATGTGGGATGGTGATAACTTAGTTATTTGAACATCAGAGCCATAAATCATGTTCATAATTCATAGTAAATCTTAGTGTGAAATAAAAAAAAACTATTTAAATTTTAATTCACCTGGACTTCTAAGGCCTAACACCTTAGTTGTGTAAAGGGTGATTCATTAGGTAAATATAGGATTTATATGACACTTGAAGTACCCTGATTTTTCCTCCTGTGGCATTTGTATCTTTTGTAAACACTGGAATGCACCCTTAACAGACTTTTTCGTCATTTTATTCCTTGGTCTTTACTTTTAGATAAAACTGATTTATGACCCTGAATGACTTTCCCTTTTCCCATGGGGTTTATTGTCTTTGATAACACGTACTCGAGATGCCGCCATAGTAATGTTTCACAGTACATACGCAATATATCAATGATTGTAACAACTATTTACATAGTACATTTGTTTGTTAGTAAAATAACGAATGCGGGTCCTTTTTGAGCAAATATGTATCTTGCACCAAAAAAACTAAATAAATCCTTTTCATTTATTATTAGGATCTTAACCTTCGAGATTAAAGTGTAGAATAGGGTGCCCCTTGGGGAAGTTAATTTTTTGGCGACCGGAATCGGCCGCCAAGCAACTCATTTTAGCGATAATGTGATCCGAGAACTTACAAATTGGAATTTTGTAATGAATATAAAAATGAGAAATGAAAAAAAATATTTTTTTTAAAAATTGCTTAAATATTTATAAAAAGTTAATTGGTGATCGGTTTCGGTCGCCAAAGAATTGACTTCGCAAAGGGGACTCTTATTCTACATTTTAAACACGTTGGATTGTGGGAGTTCTGCTTAAGTGTAGATCTCGTCATCTGGCAGTGGTTCAAAATTAAGATGTGGTTGATGGATTTTTATGGCGGGCAAAAATAGACAGCCGGAAGTGTTGGGGGGGGGGAGAAACCCAGGGATCTCTTCAAAAATTTTCGTGTATAAAGTTTGGAAAAATAGCTGTGATTGGTTATTTGTCAACGCACTTTGATAACCCTGGTTTTGCTTTATAGTGCGACATTAATAAATACTCACTCAACGCAGCTGCGTGAGGGCTGTTGTAATTCAGAACCGCGGTCAAATGACTAGGATGATACTCGAGTTAGCACCCTACTCTGCAATGGTGAAGTTGAGCCAGCACCAAAAAAAATTACCGAATTCTTTGCCATTAACCTTTTTACAGACTGGCTTGGCATTGATTTATCAAAATAAAAAGGAATATGAACAAAGGGGTAAAAAAAGTGAATGGGGCATTTACTGTTAGCCGAGTGGTCATGGTTGTATACATGGAAGACATTGTTTTGTCGGTAACGAAGAATATTAAAGCTCCCTTACAGTCATTTTTGCCTTCACCTTCAATATTTTATTAATTGGTTAAATACGTACTTCCCCTCAGGGGGCTCACCTTCTTTAGGTGAGTACGGGTGTCACAATCCCGAGGTGCCCTAGTGATCTTTTGGCAAGGGCTCACTCTCTTGTGATTACGGATTTCGCTCACCCGCCTCTCCCGAGTGATCTTTACTTTACTTTCACCTTTATTTCCCCCACTTCCTTTTCCGCCATAGTAAAAAAGAAAACACTGGTTTTTATTTCCTAAGAATACATATCCAGGAATTTCATTTTATGGTTTATCCGCTTAGTGGGTCTTGCTTTATTATTGATTTTTTCCTTACATATTATCTTTAATTTTACTTGCGACGAAGTCCTGTGGCAGACCAGGACTGAGTGGAATGAAGTTGTGTCTGATGGTTTTTTCACAACTGGTAAGACAGCACAACAGACTGCTCCCTGGGAAAACTGGCACTTGGAGCGAGGTTTTAAACTTCTGAGGACATTTGGACTGGTGAGGTGGGGTCTTGGAGGAAGCGGCCATGTATAGGGTACCGGAGAAAAGCTGAGTTTTGCGTCTCAGGCCGCCAGATAGTACAGGAGCCCGGGGCAGCTTAACCAGCATGTCCTGGCTGCTCTATCAGCTGGTGTATAATCTAGCCTGCCTTGTAGCTCCAGGTGGTGCCTGGATGGGGTCCTGCATTGCAGAGCGGGGGGCTCTCCCGAGGCCACTGCTGGTTGCTGAATCTGGGGCTAGCCCCGCCAAACTAATTCTTTGAAAATCAAAAGGGATTCTCCTCCTCTTTTCTCAAAAACAAAATTAAAATACAAAAAAAAAATAAGGAAAAAGATAAAAGCGCATTCTTTAAAATCCCCAACCCAACACATGGTGGTCAGCCCACCAACTCTCAAACTTACTCCGAATCTTTTCCCAAATTTATTGTTCTTCATGCAACTGATAACAGGAAACTTTCCAATGATTCACCTTTTCTTATCTCTAAAGCTGTACAAGGTTCAGCTGGTTCTGTGAAATCTATAAAAAAATTACCATCCGGTGATTTACTGTTAGAAACAGCAACACAAGCACAATCAAATAATCTCCTACAATGCACAAATCTTTCACAAACATTTATATTACTGCTACTCCTCACAAAACACTCAATTCATCCAAAGGAGTGATTTACTGCCCATATCTGATACCTTTACCCGATTCTGAAATTGAAGAAGAGCTAGCTTCTCAAGGGGGGGGGGAGTGGAGGCTGTCAAAAGAATAACTTCCATAAAAAAAGACGGTAAAACTCTCCATTATTATACTCACATTTTCTAAACATACATTACCAGAAAATATACTAATTTGTTACTTAAACATTAAAATAAGACCTTACATCCCTAACCCTCTCAGATGTTTTTGCTGTCAAAGTTACGGTCATGGAACAGCTTCCTGTCGCGGCGTTGCTACCTGCAATAAATGCAGTAGTACGGAACACGCCAGCGAAGCATGTACGACAGAACGGAGAAAGTGTGCAAACTGCAAGGGGGAACACGCTGCTTATTCCAAAATCTGTACAAAATGGCAGCAAGAAAAAGAAATGCAAAGAATTAAAGTACTTGAAAACCTTTCGTATTCTGAAGCAAAGAAACGGGTGGTCAATATCTTACCACCTCGAACTTCCAGTTCTTATGCTAATGCAGTAATGACCAACACAAAATCAAAAAAAGATTCTGCAACTCAAACAGACATAGGAACTCAAACAGAAATTTACAACATAGAAACACCAACAAACATTGACAATTTAACTTCTGAATCTCATAACTTAATTGAACAAGAAACAACTCTATC